AGGATGATGCTCCCTCTGCTTTCCCTGCACTCTCATCCATGGAAAGGAAGGATTGGAGTGGGGTGAAAACCCGGGGAACCTTTGGGTTTCATGGTGTGGGTAATTAAACACTGAGCTGATTATTTAATTGGGAGCTTGGCAAGGAGGAATATGGAGTTGTGGGGATGGAGAGGGGAACAAGGGCATTCCCAGGCATTGGGGATGGTGACTCCAAGGAAAGCTGCACTTCCCAGGCAGCTGAGATAGCAAAGGGCATTGGCTGGCAGGATCTGAGGACTGACGCTGTCCTGGCACGTTTCCCACTTGGCAGTGAGCTGTTCTCCCTGCACACACGTGGATGTACATCCTGCATCCCATATCCCACCTGCTTTATCCCATCACCTGCACACACACGCAGGCAGCGATGGGTATGAGCTGGATTTCCTGGGATTTGCTGGTGTTGCATCCTCGATGGAGTTTATCCGGTCAGGGAAGGGTGGGCCGGGCAGTGCCAGGCTCCTTCCTGATCCTCACAATCCAGAGCTTTCCGTTCCTCCTGGATCAAGGGGCAGTGGCAACCAGCACGCAGCCTTGCTGCAGGGAGCATCCCATATGCCACATTCCATATCCCATCTCCTGTGCCCCATATCTCGCATCCCAGTTCTCATATCCTATTTGTCGTGTCCTTTATCCCACATCCAATATTCTCCAACCTTGCATCCTGTACCCTGTATCCCACCATCTGCATCTCACACCCAATGATAAATCCCATATCCTTGCATCCTAAATCCCAAATCCTTCATCCCAATACCTTCATCCCGCATCCCACCTCCTGCATCCCACACCCGACATCCTGTATCCTCACACCTGACATCCCACATCCTAAATCCTGCATCCTCCATCCCATACCCTGAATCCCACTACCTCCATCCCACATCCAGTGTCCTGTATCCCTGCATCCCCTATCCCACATCCATACCCTGCATCCTACGACCTCCATCCCACATCTGCTGTCCTGTAGCTGCGCATCCTGCATCCCACTTCCTGTATCCCATATCCCTCCTCCTGCATCCCACATCCATATTCTGGGTCCAACTACCTGCATCCCAATTCCCACAGCAGCAAACCCACCCAAACCCAAGGAATTCGGGATAAAATCCCAGCTGTGGTGCTGTATGTGTTATGCAGGGGGGTTTTCCATGTCCTGGATTTCGGGAAGGACTTCACTTCCTGCTGAGTTTGGGGATGACATCAGTGGAACTGGGATGTGCTGGCTGGGGGAAGGCTGAGAGCTGGAAAAAATTCCAGCCTTCAGGATGAGCCGTGCAGTGCCAAAGCCATGATCCCATGGCAGAGCTCTGTTCTACCAAGGTGATAAATGGAGAAATTTATTTTATATAAATATATTTTTATATAATATGGACAGGGCAGTGTTTTTGTCTCTGGGATGTGGGAATACTGAGGAGGCAGGCAGACCTGGAGCATGGAAAGAGGGAAGTGCAAAAATCCAACTCTGGCCGAGCCAGAATATAAAGATCCGCTCAAGCCAAAAAATTCCAGCTCCAAACCGAGCCCAGACTCTGCTCACAGCAGCTCAGCCCTGAGCTCGGAGCCAAATCCAAGATTTTTTTTTTTTTTTTTTTTGTCCAAGATTATTTTGGCTGAGATTTGAATTAATTCCTGCTTTTTTTTAAGTGAAATTACCCCAGATTCTTCCATGCCCAGCAGCCCAACCTGCTTCCACCCCAGGACTGGAGTTCTCACCTTGTGGAGCTGCCAGGATTTGTGGAGATGTCAGGATTTGTGGAGATGTCAGGATTTGTGTGAACACTGGAGCAGTTTTGGGACAAACCTGTGGGGTGGGAGCATCAATAACTGAGGAGGAAGGAGCGAGGAGCACTTTGGAGATGCTGCATTGGTCATCTTCTTGTGTTTTTCCATATGATTCCAGCGATCCCAGTAATTCCTGCTTGGAGGTGGCACGGAGCACCCTGCACCGCTCCAAGGGGACTTTGCCAGGGGCTGGGCCCAATCCTGAGCATCCATGGATAAGGTGCTCCAGGGTGCTGCTGTGTTTGGGGGTGAGCACCCCCCAAATTCCCCCTTTTGCCCCTTGGAAACCCCCGGGGTTGGGAGGTTGGGGGATTTCCGGCCTTTTCCCGGTTCGGGGGGGCCCCGGGGTTTTTCAGGAGGTAGTTAAGGTTTGGAATTGGGTTAAGGAACTCTGCAGGAGTGGGACATGAAGAGGACCCCCGGGGCTTGTCCCCATGTCCCCATCCCAAGTGCCAGGCAGCCCTTGGAGCATCCTTTTGGATTGGGCTGCTGTTTCCACCCCTGGAAAAGGCTGAGGGTGGAGCTGAGGGATGCAGGAGATGCCCAGGGTGAGGGAAGGACTGCAGATCCCCACAGGAGGGACAGCGTGGTGTCCTGAAGTCCTGCTGCAACCCCGTGCAGACCCCAAAAAGCAGCAGGGAGATGGAGAAGGAGGCTCCAGTCCCACTCAGGGATCAGGAAAAATGCGGGGAAAGCTTTGAAACCAGGTCAGAGCGACCCCGAACGCCACACGTCCTCCTGCAGCAGACATGGTGGCACCTGCGGATGCCCGCAGTCCTGCGGCACGCGGGTGACACATGACCCTGTCCCGCCACATCCCCATCCCAAAACATGCGCCAACACGCTTGGAATGCACACGCATGATCCTGCAAATACTGCAGCCATCCCAAAAAAAGCTGCAGAACCAAGAAGGGACCACCCAGATGCCCCCAAGAGCCCGGGGTGCAGGGGAGGCTCAGCCCCAAAGAGGAGACGAGTCATAAACCAGCCAAATTTAGGCTTAAACCACTTTTGTTTTTATTATTTATTCAGCAAAGCCAAATCCCAGAAAGCTGGGAGCTTCAGGAGCTCGGAGAAAGTCAGGATGAAGGGGCAGAAGGGTGCAATTCCACCCTCAAATCTCCCAAAAAAACCTGTGGGATGGGGTCTCCTATGGAGGACCAACGTTAATGGGTGGCAGCAACACCCTGAGTCCTGCTCCAGCTATTAGGAGATTTCAAGGAAAAAAACAATCAGCGGGGAACTAAAAAAATAAATCACAGTGGCGCACAGAACTGGGGAGCCCTTTGGGATAAAGAGGAAGGGATAATACCTGCGCTGCCAAAATAATCTGGGATCTTTCCCAGGTTGTTGCACCTCAAAATAAAACTAAAAGGAGAGGGCAAAGGGGAAAATTTGGGATCCTAAATTGCTGCCTTCGCTCTGGCATGGAAGTGGGGAAAGGATTCCGGAGCAGGAGACGACCGCGGTCACCTCACGCTGTGTCCTGGGGTGACAGCCCATGGGACAGCGCTCCCACAAACCCCACCCAGACCCCAGAGCCAGCTCTGCTTTCCCACCCAGCCCCAGCGCAGCTGGGAAAAGGGGCAGTGACCCCCAGGATGTGCCCACGGGGAATGGGGATCACGGAAAGATCCGGGAGTGACGATTTAGACAGCAGGGACTGAGATCGCCAGCTGGTCTGGGGAAGGTACCAGTCCCAAATATCTTTTCCTCCTCAAATTCTTATTTGGTCATGGCCATGCAGCTGGATGTGTTCTCCCCCCGCAAAAAAAAATACACCAGGAGAAAGGGATATTGGGAGGAAAATTAGGGAATAACCCACCAGGAAGCTGTGATTCACCTCCAAAAAATTCGAGGATGCGATGTCCCATGAGCGGCTGCACGGGATTATTTTATTTAAAGCCAGGTTTGCAAAGTTTCCCCAGATCTAAATAAATATAGGAATAAGGGCTTAATCCCCCACTTTCCAAACCCCCCTTTTTGTCCAGCCCTGGGACAAATGTCCCTCTTTGCATCCCAGCTCCCATCCCAAAATCCAAGTCCAATATTGAGCCGAGCTCAGGCTGCTCAAAAACCCTCTGGTCACGCAGTAAGACACCAAAAATCCGGAAAAAGAGGAAGAAAAAGGGGAGTGAGGTTTGGGGGTGCAGAAAAGGCAAGACCAGAGGGTTGTGGAGTTTCAGGCACCCCATAAATCCAAGGAAAAGCCAGGAGGTTACATGAGCACAGCAGAGATTTATGGAAGCGGCAGGAGGGAACACGCCACAGCTTGGGCACCTGCCACGGCTGAGCCTGGGCAAAAATATAGGACAGAAAATGCACTTAAACATTAAAAAAGGCACATAAAATGCCCACAAAATATGTTATACCAAGGGTTGTGTTGGAATTTGTCCTGCTGAGTCCGGGGAAAACTGCAGCTGCGCTTGGGGTTTGCGGCAAAGGGAGAAAGATCCTTAAAAACAGCCCCCAAAACTCCAAAAATCTCAGTAAAACACCAGCCCAAAAGCTTGGATTAGGGAAGGTGTGGGCTTGGTTTGTTAAGGGGTCCTTCTTAAATTAAAAATTCAAGAAGGGAGAAGCCCAAAGAGGAAATAAAAATAATTTATTACCGTTGAAAATCAAGCCAGCGGCTCATCGGGACGGTGTCGGACAAGCAGGAACCAAACTGGATCCCCTGAATTTCCAGCAGCTGCAGGGATGAAGGTCTCCAGGACCCTCCAGCCGGGAAAGAAAACCAAAAACACCCAGAACCCGGCTGAAAAAAATAAAAATAAAAACAAAAACAAACAAACAAAAAAAAAAGGCAGGAAAAGTGAAAAGCCAGAGGCGACGCTCAAGACCGGACTTATCTCAGTGGGAGCTTGGGGAAGGTTTTGCATCAGCACTGGGAATCAAAGGGAAGAATAAACAACCCCCAAACAAAACCCCGATGCTGCAGGACACCCCAAAAGTTGAGAGAAAACCCGACCCAGGCTCTAGTTGAATATAAGTTTTTATCTTGATGCAACATCATTAAAACCGTCACAAATCGAAACAACAGGTCGTTAAAAACGCTTCGCACGATCAGTCCCTAAAATGCACCAGGCTCCCGAGCTCGCTTTGTCCGCAGGACCCTTTTGTTTCCCCCCCCCCAAATTTTTTTTTTTTAATTTTTTTTTTTTCTTTTTTTAATTAGGCACCCGTTTTAAAAAAGGAAAAAAACAAACAAACCCGCCCCGCTCCTCCGCGCAGGATCGGTCCCGCTTTCGCTCCAACGATTGCACGAATTCTTAATCCTTTTTTTTTTTCCTCTTGTTTCCACAACAAATAATGTGCATTTTCTTGCCGTCTGTGTTTTTTTTTCTCTCCAAACATCGAGGTTAAAATAAGATTTTCCGCTTCCCGAGGGTTAATAAATAAATCTGGTGCATAGTGAGATAGCAGCCAACCGTTTGCAGTCCATATATTACTATATTGCCTTTCAGGTCGCCCTAAAATTGTTACCTCTTCCCCTCCCGCCCCTCCCCACTATTTTTAAGAGCATAGATAATTTTAAATCTCTATAAAACAGTATTATTTCACCCAATCGATTCCTGTATATAGTGCATTCGGGTTCTTCCCAACATCGTTAAATTAACTCGGATATTATTTGCATGCTATTACATACAAACTTTTAAGACTCGTGTAATTTTTTTTTCTCTTTTCTAAAGGATTTTAGGGTTTTTTTGTTGGTTTTTCTTTTTTGTTTGTTTGTTTTTGTTCGTTTTCTTTTTCTCGTAAATCACCAAGCAAAATATAGGCTCAAGGAAAAAAAAACAATAAAAGAAAAAAAAAAAAAAAGAAAAAAAAAAAAAGGCAAAAACGAACTAATTTTCTACATATTTACAAGGGTGAATAAGTTAAATGTGGCTCAGGTTTGCCGGCCGGGAATGGGGGGTGGGCGGAGGGGCCGGGCAGGGCGCAGCGCTGCCGGGGACCCCCCCGGCCGATTCGTGGGGATCCCTCGAAGAATAAAAATCCCAATGGAGGGGGAAACCCGCAGGAAAAGGTGGGGAGAAGCCACCTGGATGGCGCTGATGCTCCCGGGAAGGGGGGCGGGTGGCCGTACACGTCCCGCATGCAGGGCTGCCCCCCACTCCCCCACCCCGGGACCCCCACCCCGAGTCCCGATGGGTGGGTGCGTGGTGGGAGGGGAGCAGTTCAACTTCCCCTCCCCAAAATTTCAGTGGGGACTTCATAATATTAATATTTTTTTTTTCATATTTTTTTTTCTTTTTTAAATAGAAGCGGCGGGCTTGCTCTCCCCGCATGAGGAAAAAAACCAAAAAACCAAAAAGGGGATCCCACCCCATCCCACCAGCCCGGCTCACATGAAGAAGTCAGCGGTGGCTTTCGGGGCGGCGGATGGGGAGGGCTCCCGCGGGAAGCCCCGGCCGGCCAACTTCTCATATTTTTCTTTGTACAGATCCCTTTCCTTGGCCAAGCGGGACACCTCCTGCTTGAGCTGCTCCACCTGGCTCTGCAGCTGGCATTTCTCGTTCTCCAAGATGTGCCGTTGCTGGACCCGCTTGTAGCGGCAGGATTGAGCGTAGCCCCGGTTCTTCAAGGTCCTCCTCTTCTGCTTGAGGCGGATCACCTCCTCCTTGCTGAAGCCCCGCAGCTGCCGGTTCAGCTCCCGCACGGACATACTCACCAGCTGATCGTCGGAGAACCGGTCCTCCAGGCGTAGGTGGTGGTGATGATGATGGTGGTGGCCGGGATGGTGATGGGCGGCCGGCGGCAGCTCCTCGCCCCCGAAGGGTTGAGGTCGGAAGGGCTCGTACCCTTGGTGGTGATGATGATGATGATGGTGAGGGGCACCGATCAACGCCTCCACCGCGTCCTCCGGCGTCAGGTTGAGAGCTTCGGGGTTGAGGTGATGCTGGTAACCCGACATCCAGTACAGCTCCTCCAGCTGCTGTTTGGAGCCCAGGGAAGCGGCGGTGGTAGCCGGGGGGCCGGGGGCCGGTTGCCCGCCGGGGCTGGGAGCGCAGAAGCTGGGCGAGGAAGGCACGGAGGAGCAGGGCGTGCTGAGCGGGGTGGACGACAGGGACCCGGCGGGCAGGCGGTGGCACAGCCGCTCCGCCTCCGCCGGCTCCTTCTTCACCTCGAACTTCATCAGGTCGAAATCGTTCACGTACTCGATGGCGAGGGGGCTCGTGGGCAGCTCCGCGCTCATGGCCAGCTCCGAGGCCATCTCAGTCCATGGAGGGACCGGGGGGGGAAGCCCCCGGGCACCGCCGCTCACCGAGGGTCCCGCGGGCTCCGGGAGCCTCCTCCGAGCGGGCTCCGGCGCAGGCGGCTGCCCAGACCGGGACCCTCCGGTGGGGCTTTGCCGTGGGGCTGGGGCTCCGGGACCCTCGGACGGGGCTCAGCCGGGCTCCGGGAACTCCCGACGGGACTTTGCGGTGGGATTCAGCCGGGCTGCGGGACCTTCTGAAGGAGCTCTGCGGTGGCGTTCAGCCGGGCTCCGGGACGGGATCCGTGCGGGGCTCCGCGACTCTCCGATGGGACTTTACGGGGAGGTTCAGCGGCGTCCGAGATGGGGTTCCGGGACCCTCCGGGTCAGACCCACCGGGGCTCCGCTGCGGGGCTCAGCCGGGCTCCGGGACCCTCCGCCGGGGCTCCGCTGCCGGGCTCCGGTGCTCGCCTCCGACGGGACTTTGCGGTGCGGTTCAGCCGGGCTCCGGGACCCTCCGCCGGGGCTCCGCTGCCGGGCAGCCACTTCTCTCGGTCGGGGCTCGGCTCCGCTCCGCCGCTGGGCTCCGGGACCCTCCTCCGTCCGCCACGGCTCTGTGCTCGGGCCGGGCGGGCTCCGCCGCTGCCTGCGGCCGGTTCCCAATGGCGAGGAGCGGGCAGCGCCCTGCCCGCCCCTTCCTGCCTCCCCTGGCACCTGCCCCGGCCCCACCTCCCCGGGCTCCGAGCCTTCGCCTGCCTCCTCCTCCTCCTCCTCCTCCTCCTCCTCCTCCTCCTCCTCCTCCCGCCGGGACACGGCGCCCTGGGGGCGGGGGCCGCTCCCCTGCCCGCCCCTGCCCGCGACCGGCGCCGCCGCCGCCGGCAGCTCAATGGAAATCGCCGCTTTTTATACGGGGAAAACGAGGCACGGCCCCTCCTGCCGAGGCGAGGCTAAGCTCTTCCAGCCTATCGGCAGCTCCAGAGCCCGCTTGGATTTTCACATCCCCATGGAAACGCCCCCGGGGCAGCTGCCAATCTCCGGAGGTGGGGAATGCTCCGGGTACCCCCCTGGAATCTCTCGGCCCCCGCATCACAACGTGGGGCTTCATCTCCCACCCTCCGCGCTGAACTGAGCGTGGAGTGGGGAGAAACATCCTAGGAATCCTGATTTCCTGCTCCCCAAAAAGGGGAAATATCCGAAAAGGAGTTACTGAGCCTAAATGGGGTTTGGTGACACCTCGCTGAGGGATCACAGCATCGGAATTCAGCCCCTTCCCCACCTCAGGAACAGCCCAGAATCCTTCCCGGAGCACTTCTATCCTTGCAGAAAGTCAAATAAATATAATTTGAGGGATTATTCAGGATTTTCCATTAGCTATTGGTGGTCAGGGTGCAGCCACGTGCACCTCTGTGCTCCAGTGCTGCCTCTGTTTTCGGAGGTGGCATCGCACCTAGCACAGGTGACATCCACACCTGGCACATGAACGGGAGTGTCACCAGATGGAGAACCAGGACTGCCAGCCCAGCGCCTAAAAAAGGTGTCACTGGCACCCAGAGGCAGCAGGTCAGAGGGTTTTGGAGGTGCTCCATCCAGGGATGTGGTCGTGCTGCTCCATCTGCAACCTCATGGCTGCTGCAGCCTGGGAGGAACAGGTCTGGGAAACTGAGGCACGGGGTGGTTGCCATGGAGTGGCCCCACCTAATCCCAAGGGATGAGCAGGTTCATCCCACAGAGGCTGGCAACACCCACCCACTCATCCCCTGGGGGTCCGGGATTGTCTCTGTCGCACACAGGATGCATCCTGGATCCCACTGCATCCCAACCCGGCTGCATCCCACCCTACTGCATCCCACAGGCAGCTCCTCGGGATGTGGGGGGCGACATTCCCCTCATGGCTGCTTGGGGACCTGGGGACAGGGGACGCTGCTCTCCATGGCTGCCAACCGACCCTTTAGATACAGGGTCAAATCAATGCAAAAATTGTGGTTTTTGAGGATGAAAACATTGATCCCGCTGCAACTCCAGCGATTAAAATCCCACACTTGTCTCACCTGAACATCAGTTCATGCCGGATCTGGTCTCTGGGGAGGGTGCATCTTTCTGCTGCTAATCGAGTCAGGGCAGGGGGGGCATTTATTCCCCTTGGGAAGGGTCATGGATGCAGGCAAGGCCCTAAACATGACCTCATTCCCTGGTGATCCTGGGTGTTATCCCATATTGGACACAGATATCCCATTTCGGAGCCCCCACACTTGGGCATGACTTGAGGGAGGAGACAAAGAAGTGGACAACAAAAAACCTTTTTTTGCGAGGTGGTTTCAACCCTTTTTGCTCCATCGTGTCACCCTAAATCCATCATCGTCCCACCTGCGGAGCGGGATACCGGGATCCTGCACTGGGAAAAGATGGGGTGGCACCTCTTTTTCCCCTGGCACCGTGTTCCTCCCCAGGGCTGCTCCACCCTGGGGGCACCTGGCCCCCACCAGCAGCTGCCACCCGGGCTGGGACAGGAGCCACCGAGGGATTAGGACCGGGCCGGGCTCCAATGGGGCCGTGGCTCCCCAGCGACACCCCCGGGGTATTTTTAGGAAATGCCCATGGCATGTCCCCAACCCTCCCCGCCGCGCCGGGCCCGTCAGCTAAGTTTACTCACAGGCGGTCAAGTGACATAACCAGGTTGGTGGCCTCGGGATGGTGGCAGGATGGCGTCACCTTTCGCTTTTAGAGCTCGTGTGCCCCTTGGAGCGGGACCGGGTGCCCACCTGGGGCTGCCTCAGTTTCCCTGGATGGCACACGGCTCCCGCTTGGGGTGTTGTCGGCTTGGGGACAGTGACCTCACCCCAAGGGAGGGTGGTGTCCACCACGGTGGAGAAAGGGTGGGACCATCTTGGTGATGCTCCACCAGCATCTTCCCCGCAACCCAGCGTGGCGGCAGGGTCAGGAATTTTGGGTTGGAGGGGGGAAAAATCCCACGGAGAGGCTGGGAGGAGGATGAGGAGGAGGAGGTGGAGAAGGAGGAGGGCAGGGAACAGCCATCCCGATGACAGGCAGAAAGCTGATCCCGGCGGGTGACGTTCACCCGGCACCTGCTTCCCGGGCAGGGGACCAAGAGCGGTGCCAGCAGCACCCGCCGCAGGAAGGATTTTCCGGGAAATGTTTATGGAGCCCTCCAGAAACTCCACCCCGTGCCAACCTCCCAGTCGTGGCACCCCCGGGGAATGTCCTTGCCGGGTCCCTGAGCCCAGCAGCGCATTCCCGGCTTCACAGCGAGGATGGATAAATCCCACTGGAACCCACTGCCGAGGAATTAAGGATGTTGGAGATGGAGGGAGAACCCACCGGAGTTCAGTGACGCCTCTCCAGGGGCAGCGTTTATCCCTGCTTGGGAATTAATCACCCCCCAAGCAGGGCTTTAATGACAGCCGGCTGGAAATTCCAATCCTCCCCGGGAAGGGAGCAGCGGTGCCGGTGGGCGGCCGTGGAGAGGAGCTGCTCGTGGCTTCGTTTAATTAGTGCAGCGCGAGGATTATCCTCGTTAGGGATCCAGGGAAAACCAAAGCTCCCGGCCGGCCACCACTGGACATCCCTGAGGATTCACAACGGCACCGTCTCCTCCAGGGTGGTTTTTAGGGAATTTAGTTGGGGTTTTTTAGGATACCACCATGTGAAGAATCATTGTTTCTGGGTGAAAAGTTTTAGTAATTAAAAAAGCCCAAGGATTTAGGGATCAGAGTGACTCCTCCACTGGATTTGGATGGATATTTGATGGGATGTTCATGCATTGCTGAAAGAAGAGGAAAGCCACAGGGAGGCTTCTCAACCCCAGGGGAGGAAACTCTTTTATTTACATATCAAAACACAGGAGTTAACAAAAGACATTTTCATATCAACAAAAGCCACGACGTTTTTATTAAAAATCAACTCGTTGGACACAACCTGGGGCACAAGTGAGATCCCAGGGTGAGGATTTGCTGGTCCTCCAGTGCCTGAGGGATGTTGTGGATTTGGGATGGTGACAAAACCCCTCCATGGGGGTCACTTGGTGAAGGGAACCCCCCCGTGGGGACCTGTTTAGGGGTGAAGCCACCACCCACTGGCATTTCCTACCCCATCTCTGACCACACCAGGATACTGCATCCCCAGTCCTTCCCAAATCCCTCTGATGCCTTTTCCCCACAGGATTTTGCCTGAGGGGCTGTGGATGAGCAAACCCCACAGATTTCATCTGTGTGGGGGACAGCACCTGCTGCCCCAAAATTCATTGGAAATTGTGCCTATGGATGCAAAATCCCATTGTTCCTTCACTCTGTTTCTGCTTGCATTTGGATAGTCCCCAAAAAAACCCCAAACCCTGGAGAATTGGCTTGAATTTCCAATGGATCCCAAATCCCTGCTGGGATAGGGAGAGGAGGGGGTCGGGTGCAACTGGGCCATGGGAGACCCCGAAATGCAGACTGTGATCTCAGCACCACTCCCAACGCACTTCCAGGAAATCTCCTCCCAGAAGCAAGGGGATGGAGGGGGATGAGCTCTTGGAATGGTGGGATCAGGGCTGTGGGGGCTTTACACCCGTTACATCCCAGCACGGTGATCTGTCCCCAGTGCATCCCGACCTGGATGTGGGAATTAAACCACCTCAGGTCCCCCTGTCACCTTGTGGCTGGGACAGGAGGAATGGATGGGCACGGGAAGCTTTTCCCAGCCCCCACAGGCATCCAAGGAGGTGGCAGGACTTGCCTTCAGCAAACCAGCTGAAAAGGTCGTTTATTGGTCAAGTTAAAGATTCCAAACAAAGCTGCCTCCCTGCAGGAACGAGCGGTGCACTCCCGCGCTGCCACACGACTCCGTGTCCGAGGGACATCCCGGAAAAACAGGAGGAGGAGGAGGAGGGGGGTGCCATGTCTGGACATGGCATCCTGAGGTAGGTGCCAGGTCGTTCCCTGGCTCTCCAGTTCCTGAGCTGGTCGGCTGCCACGGGATTGGGATGGACTCAGAGCCGGGGCTTGATCTGCAGCCGTTTCCCTGGAGGGAGGGAAGGGAATGGTGATGGTGGGAAGGGGGGAAACACAGCTGGATATTCCCAGGCTTCTCCTTGCCTGGTCACGGGAAGGGGTTAAAGCACTGGGAAATTGGGAATGTGGGTGGTTCTCTGCCCTGGCAGCACCCGCTGGACTCACCTCTGCCACCCACAAGGGAGTTCTCGGAATCCTGCAGGGATGCCCTTGGGAATATTCTCCTTTTGGTGTGGCCTGGGAAGGAAAGGAAGAAAAGAGGAGAAAGTCATTGAGGTTGGCTCGGGTCACCTTGGAATCCCTTAGGAGTGTCCTAAGTTCCTCTTCTGCTTCACAGCCCCCTTGGCACATCAAGGATGGAGGTGGCTCATTCCCCAAATCCCTGAGCATCCTCAGTTCCCTACAAGTGGCACTCAGAAGTCGCTTCCCACCATGAAGCAGCGAATCTGCTGTAAAATTCTCAACTTATGGGCGAAACACAGAATTAAAAAGGATCCAAACCTTCCCACTGGTGAACATCAGGACCTGTTTTGGTGCTGGGATGGAGCCAGAAAGAGCTGAGCACCAGCAATCATCTCCCCAAGCATTCCCAACATCCATTTAGGATGCTCCAGGTGATGTCCTCTCCTCGCTGGAATACAGTGCTTCCTCCAAAGAGGACTCATGTAGATCCAAAACACCATGAAGTGCCCCTGGGAGGTGACCTCCTTGGAGGACAAGTCCAGCATCGTCCCATGGACCAAAGTGGACAGAGTGAAATCCTTCTCCAATTCAACCACAACGCTGGGAGTGCCTTTCTGCAAGTTCTCCTATTTTCCCTCTCCAAAGGGGTTCCACGTACCAAGAGTGACGGGTGGGAAGGAAAGCGGTGGCCACTTGGCCACCGAGATGAATGAGGATGGAAAAAGGTGGAGGTTCCCCAGGGAAAAAAAGGACCCACAGGTTTAGTGGGAAAAGTTCCCCTTCACTTGGGACTGGATGGAGGTGGAGAAGGTCATGGAAGAAGATGGAGGGAATCCAGCCCAAACCCCCTCCAGATGTTCTCCTGCCTGTGTTCCCACAAAATTCTGCACGGCACTTCCCAAGTGATGAACCTGACGTGGAGGTGGGACCAAATCACCTCCCAGCAGCCTTGAGAGCTCAAAGGAGAAAGTTTTTGGAGCAGGGAAGGAAGGACAGGTGAGGCCCAACAACGGGGAGTCTCCAAGAGTTTTCCTTCGCTTTCCAACTCGGATAAACAAACTTGCCGGGAGTCGGAGGTGCGCTGGCAGTGATTCATCGCTCCGGAGTTAATTTATGGAAAATAAAGAGGGCTCATTTAGCACCTTTCCACCCTTAATATAACTCCCATACATCAGCGGGATGCGCGGCAGACACGGCGGATCTGGATATTCCTCACCGGCAACGCAGCCGAATCCGGCTTTCGGGAACGGTGACACGGAGCCGAACACCCTCGCGTCCCCACCCTCCCAGTTGTTCCCTTTGGAATCCAGCCAGGTGGTTTTTCCAGCCTGGGATCTGCAAATTCCGGCCTGGTTGCCGGAATGAGGGTCTGGAGCTGCTGGTTGTCACCTCAAGGGGTCGAAAACAGCAACTCCACATTCCTGGCCCGTGGTGTGAGTTCGATAGGAATGGTGGGAAGGGCTCAATTCCCTTTGGATGAGCCAGGGAAAACCTCCTTAGCTGATATCCATGAGGCAGCTCAAAGCAGGCGTGATTACAGAAGTAGAAACATGGGTTTATTTTTTTGGGAGGAGAAGAAAAAAGGTGATTTTTGAATCGACCATAATTAACTTCCTGACTTTGGTACAGAGCGCACGGGGCCAAGATACTTCCGGAGCATCCATGTTTGATCTCCAACAGATTCCTCAAAAAAAAATCAAGGCGGGAATGAGAAAATAAACCCAAAATAAGTCGTGAGAGGGCTAAACTGGTTCCATTTCTCCCCTTGGATGGAAGGAGATGGAGGAAGGATGGTGCAGCCAAGGGGTGAACACCACATCCCAAAAAACCCCCAGGAGGGGAAAACCTGGACCAAACAGGGGTGTCACTCCACCCAACCCCGGCAAAGGAAAAGATATTTTTCCAGTTTTGTGCTTGGGAGATCCTGCAAATGGCGTGATCAATCTTGGGTCGCGTCTCCAGCTCCTTCACTCTCTCCCCCCGCCGCCTTTCCCGGCATTCCGGGAGCGGCGCAATCCATCTTCCAAGGAACCAGGTATATAATTTCTAGTTAGCGAAAGCAACCCCTTTTTCATTCCAAAGATTGAACAGCTTCCGAAGGAGAAGATCCGAGGCCGGATCATGAGTTTTCCATCGAAACCCAGGCGGTTTTCGCTGAGCTTGTCAGGCTCGTCGGAGAATTAGGACTTCCAGCGCTCTTCCTCCTGATGGAAATCAACATTTATTTTGCCTAAGCCTAAGAAGGTGTCAGGCAGACGGAGAAACTTGCCACTCTTCTCTAGGAAAAAAAGAGGGGAAAGAAGGAAATCTAATAGAAATATATTATCAAGTCTGAGGAGTGGACAGTGCAGTAAATCACACTTCAGGTGGCACCATTAGATTTTTCAATAAAACCTGGTTTTCCCCCAGCCGGAGCCGAGCGGCTCCAGCTGCATCCCAACAGGGAAGTTAAAACCAAATTTGTTTCATCCAGATGCTGATCCGAGAGGGATTGAAAGGGATTTCAAGGTGGGGAATCCTCTCGGATGAAGGGTGAAGGGAGGTGGGTCTGGGCCTGGGGCCCAAATCCTCTGCCCACTCATCATTCCTGATCCCTGAGGGATTAAAAAATTGGGTTTTTCCACAAGGTGGGGAGGTGGAAGGCAGCTGGAGATGCCCCACATCAGAGGTGAAGATCCCAAGCCCCCAAGCAGCGAGATGCAGGGAAAGAAAACTCCATTGCAGCTTCCCAAACTTTACCATCCAGCAGGAGAAAAGCTGGAATTTTGTTGGTTTCCTTTCCTCAGCAACCTCCAGCCTGATGGAATGTTTGGTCTCCATCGTTCTCCTGATGCCACCAAAGGGTTTCATCCTGTCCTGCATCTTCCTCCGGGATGGTTCAGGGTACTGAGATGCATCCCAGAATTTCTCTGCTGGATGCTCAAGGTTTAATGCCATGAGGAGAAATTCCCTTCAAACACACTTTTCCTACTTATTCCCAAAAGAATAATATCCCTTGACCCTTTCCAGGATACTTTAGGGGAGTCCAGAGGCTGAATCTGCTTTGGAAAAGTCTTTTGCTTTCATTGCCAAAGTGCTCCTGGAGAAACTTGGGCTGGGAGATGCATTTTAAAATTATTATTATTATTATTATTATTATTATTACTACTACTACTACTATTACTATTACTATTATTATTACTATTATTATTATTATATGAAACTCGACAACAAAAGATGGGGTAGGAAGCCGAACAGCAAGGGCTACATCCCAAAATTTTCCACAAGTGGTTTTTCATATGGAAAAAGGCTCCATCCTGCACTAAATCCATGTGGTGACAACCTGTGCCAGAAACTCATCCTGCTGCTCTTCCACCCAAACCTTCTGCCACAGGTGGATGAGACCCTAAAAACTGAGTTTAAATGCACCCATCCCTCAAGCAACATGGATCCATCAAATTTCTTCATGGAAAGTGTTGTCAGGCATTGGAAGGGGCTCTGAGAAGCTCCAAAAGTCAGAAACTTCGTTGTGATTTAGTTTCCTCATTGCCAAGTGTCCAATTTAGAACCTGCTAAGTTTCTCTCCTTTGCCAGGACTGGAATATTTTTCTTCCATATTGATTTTGTGCCGATGGAATCCTAAAATGGTTTGTGTTGGAAGGGACCTTAAGGACCAATTCCCATAGGCAGGGACATCTTCCACTAGTCTGGGTTGCTCCAAGCCTCATCCAAACTGGCCTTGAGCACTTCCAGGGATGAGGCATCCACAACTTCTCTGGAAAACCTGTGCCAAGGCCTCACCACCCTGGAGGTGTTGGCGATCACACAGAGAAATCGATTCCCTGTATTTTATCCCCATTTCTTCCTCCCAAGAGGAACAAACTCCACCAAGTCCTGCCGGGATCAAAGCTGACAGTGATGCCAGCTCCTGTTATCCCGGGATAACTCCCTTGTGTCCAAGCCCTCCATTCCCAACCAAGCAGATGTTTTGTGGAAAGCTCCAGGGCATCTTCTGCCGCCGACTCAGCTGATCACAGGCTTGGTTGCCTCACCTGGCTACCAAAAAAAGTCCTGGAGCAAAGATCTGCTGGCAGAAAAAGCACCAAAGGAGATGAAGGCGATGAAGATCCCATGGGATACAAGGGGGACTGGCCACATCCACATGGACAGCGCCAGCACTGGATATCTCCTAAATTAAACTGGGGTTGTCCCGTGCAGGACCAAGAGTTGGACTCGAGAGTCCCTTCTAAATTGGGATTCTTTAATTCTCGGATTCCTGGAGCTGGGAATGGTTGGATCAACACCCGCCACCAAGGGGGAGGTGACAGCGGCAGTTCCGTGCCCCGCTGGGGTCATCTCAACCACGGTGAGAAAAGAGGCGAAAATCCACATTCCCAGACTTATCCCTCCAGAAGTAGAAGCCGTAAACAAGCGCAGAAGCCGCTGCCGCGCCTCCCCGAATTCCTCGGAAGCCGAGGCGGTTGAGCGTGCTCAGCGGAGCCGTTAAAAAAGACTGGAGCGAGCATCTTCCATTAACGTTACGACCGTGAAATATGACAATAAAATGACGGCCGTATGGTCCCAAATTTGCAGCCCGCCGAGCTGCTCGGGGTTTATCGTCACTCAAACGTGCAGAGAGCTGTAAAATGTTTACAGAAAGGGTCGTTTGCGGCTATAAAATCCTCTTTTCTCTCCTAAACAAGGCTGAGCGGAGCCATTTACAAAGCCCGGAATGTTCATCGGGGGAGAGGGGAACATCTGTTCTCTCCAGGAGTTTGCAGTGATCTTCTCGAACAAATTAACTAAAATGGGTGCTTTCTAATTAAATTAGCACTCGATTGGAATGGTTTGCATTGGTGCAATTAGCGCGGGGAGGCCAGTTAGGCTCCAGCACAGGCGATTTAACTGGAAGGTGAAATATGGAAAAGCCCATTACCTGGAAAACAGGAGTCGGAGGGGTAGGGAAGCCTGTTCTCCCTCCGGCTCCATGCTCCTGGGTGGATAACACAAGGTGAAGGATGGGATGCCACCAAACCCACTTTTCCCATTTGGGATGCTCAGCTGGGAGCAGCTGGCTGTCCCCGTGCTGCACGGATTGGCTTTTTGGAGGACTCTTGGAAAGCACCAGGGCCCTCAAATTAACAATTACAGAATCCCGGAATCATTTAGGTTGGAAAAAACCTCCAAGATCAACCTTTACCCAATCACTACCATGTCAATAAATCACTCTTCCAGCTCCAGTTTCCAGGCAGCTCTGGAGTGTTGGGAACACGGACACATCCCTCCTTTCCAGTCCCCCTTCCCTATATCCCAAGCCCAGACCCCCACTGAGACCCTGCAAGCTCATGCTGCTGCCCACGCTGGTCCTTAAAGGTCATCTCCAAACTCCCTCCCTGCCCCTCCCGTGTTTTCCCTCGTTCCTCTTGCATTTCCCAGGATGAAAAGGGCATTTTCTCCAATTGTGACTGTTTAACCAAGGAATTCATCTCATTCCTTAATAACAACCTGTCCTCCTCTTTATTTGCCATCCCAATAATTTGTGTGTCAACTTCAGGCTTCACAAGCACAAACCCAACGTTATGGCTGGCACAGCTCCCCGGATCTCATCCCCAAATCCCACCACAGACTCTGGCTACTTCCTGGAGCTACACATGGACTCATCCTGACCACCCGCTCAGCTCCAAACTCAATCTCTGGGTCACCAAATATTCCAAAGGAATACAGGAATATTGGAAGGGATCCACAAGGGTCAGGGAGTCCAGTCCAAGTGATATGGCCACCACTAAGCATTTGGTCCTTCAGAAGCATCAATCCCACGTTCTCTAGGGATGGTGACCAGGGCTCCTCTTATCCCACTGGATTTGGGGGTTCCCAGATGCTGGGATTAAGATGAGACCCAAGGATGGGCAAACCCATAGGTCAACATTCCCATGTCCAGACTCGGCATGCCATCATTTGGCAGGGAAATTGCTTAATAATCAGATGATTTTACAGCCATCTGCGATTCCTGCCTGGTTTTCCTTTCCTATGGATCCTCCAGCATCTCCTTCCCAGTGCCGTGAGCCTCCCTGGGCAAAGGAACACAGAGGGGTGAGTGCCCTGACCTCATACCTGCCAGCTTCACCCAGCCTTCCTGCCGACATTCCCAAATGAACCAGCTCCTCCTCCTCATCCTCCCACCCAAAACTCCTGGAAATCATCCCCCCCCTTGGATGCAAACACTAGAATTAAGAGGAAAAGGATGCCCTCGCTCCTGAGTTACTCCTGGCTGCCAAGCGTATTCCAAGGCATTTCAACAGTCCTCTTGTCCATGAATTAAATTGTTCCAACTTCATGGAGACAAAAATCCCAATTAAGTCACTGCTTTGGGAACACATCCCGAGATCAAAAGGGAGTTGAACCAGAGTGAAGGAAAAGGAAGAAGGGGAAGAGAAATCCTTGGAAAGGGAAGCTGAGTGTTTCACTCCGTGCTGTGGAGAGGAGCGTTCCCAGCTGGAATGGTCCCCTTGCTGCGTCCACCGCACCGTGGTTTAACAGCACCCGTGCTTGTCTGTGACTTCAGGAATGTGTTGCTAATCCTGGGAATTCTCTTTCCGACAGCATTAAGGTATCTCAGCCCTCCCTGGCTTGAAGTGGTTGAGCCAGGCACAGCCTCGCAGATCCTTATGGATGATCCTGTAAATTCCTCAGCCTGGCTTTTGCAACGGAATTCATCCCTTATTCCAGTGGATCCTGCTCCAGCTGCATGGAAAGCATGGATCAAAGACGGGAAGGGCTCACACTGAGCCAAATCTTGAGCCAGCAGAGCTGGCAATGGGAATTTCATCATTACTCCCACAAAATACTGTGATTTCTGAGCCCATTCCTGAATGGGCTGCGCATCCCTCTGGAGAAGGATGGGAGAGAAAAAGGGAAATGTGGAGCATCATCCAGTCAAAAACCTCCCACTCTGGGGAGGTTGGGAACTGAGAAGAACCAGGCACAATCCCGGCCTCACCATCTCCATCACCTCTGCTCCTGGGAGTACATCCCTGGAGCGCCCCAAAATCCCATCCCTTTAGGGATTTTCCTATGGAGGAGCTGAAAGAGGAGAGGAGGAACCAAGGAGAACACTGGAGAAGCAGAAGCCGCTTGCTCTCACGTGTCAGAATTCCTAAAAAGTTCTGCTCATCCTAAACCGCATTTCCCAAAAATTGTACTGACTTCCAAATCAGATAATCCCAGACTAACAGCTCTTCCTTCGAACTTCCAACCTGCAAACAACTCCACCCCAGCTCCCACTGGAATGTTTTTTATTGGAAAGCTTCCAAGCTATTTCCTGCTGGGAAACAAGGTGTGAGGGATGGTCCACAGGTCCTCCAGAGGCAGAGCATCCTTGCATCCCACTAAACACCTTTTCTATAGGGCAGGGATGTGATTCCATCATGGAAATGAGACTGGATTCATGATGGGATAATTACAGGATAAGGAAGGAGCTGATAAAACAAGGGGACTAAGTCCTGACACACAATTTTGGGAGCAGACACAAGGATTTGTGCCCAGATGGGAATCCCAACTGCCATCCCAGTTTGGACTCCCAGTCTTAACTGGTTTGGTGACTCACAAGGAGCATGGATCCCACCAAAATCCATGGAGAACAGCAGAGAGTGACGTTTCTTCCTTGGAAAACCAGCTCCAAGCAGAGGATGTGATTCCTACCTAGTTCATCCTCTGGCTCATCCTCATCCCTCTCTTCTTTGCAGGCCTGGGAACCAGGAGATTCCGGGGATCGGAGGGAGATGAAGGATGGCAGCTTTTGCAGGCAGCTGCTTGGCTTGGGGTCCTCCTCTTTCCAAAACTTCACCTCTTGCTCTGCACTCGAGGGTCCGGGAATTTCCCCATCATCCTGGAGCTGAGCTGGATCATTCCTGCAGGAATGGGAAAAATAATAAGGAAAAGTAAAACAATCCCACTTGGCAACGCTGGACAGGGCATCATATGCAATGGAAGAGGCTTGGAGCTCCCAGGTCTCCATCCGAGGCCATGCTGTATCCCTGATTTCTCTGGAGCTAGCACAGATTCAGCTGGAGTTTGTCCCTCCCCAGCTGGATTCCCTGTTTCCTGCACTTCCCTGCAAGATTCCCAGCTCCTCAGATTCTCGTGGAGGTGCTGGGCTCCTGTTTGTGACTGAGCAGAGGGAAGGGGAGATTGGAAGGCGTGGGGAGCTGGGATGGCTTGGAGGTGTCCTGCTGGGCTTGGCTCATTCCCAGCCCTGCCACTCTCTTCCAAGCTAACTTGACACTCCAGCTCCTTTGACATCTCCCATGACGGTGCCAATAAAGGAAAAAAAAACCCTCTGGAGCAGCTTCCAAGCTGGGGTGTGCTCCCTTCCCAGAGGAGGACGCCAGGAGCCTCCCAACCAGCCAGGCCTGCACTCATTCCTCCTTCCCTAAAAAGAGCAAGGAGCTATTTTACACCTCGTTCACACCGGGAACGTGAGCTGGGTGTCATTCCAAGGCTCTTCTGTCATCCGGGATATGTTCGGAGAACCCGCGGAGCTGCTCGTCCCCCTCTGCTACCTTACAAGGCAGGACCAGGATGAGGCCCAGGCCCAGACCATGGAGGATTCCAGGAGCATGGACCAGCCTGGCAAAGCTCCCAGGTCCCTCCCTTTCCATCCCACCTTCACTCCCACCTCCCGCTGCAAAAAGCCACGGAGAAGCCATGTTACCAAATTGATCCTTCCTCCTCCCACCAAGCAGAACTTGGAGATTTTAGCTTTTAAAGCCAAATTTACATTTGGCTTTAGTTTTAATTCCATTGGGATGTTGTTGTCCTGCATGCAAGACTTGAGAGTGGGGGGAGAGGATGTGCCAAGCTCAGGAAAATCCATCTCCTAGTGAGGATGAGGATGGAAACATCCATCATTAGCCTGTGGCTCCATCCCGGCACCCAAAAACATCAGGGAGAGCTCAGAGAGCTTCCAAGGATTAACCAAGGGCCCAGCCTGGCACCAAACTTTTCCAAAGCCTCTTATCTCCATGTCCATCCCCATCTCTGATTCTCCAGCCCCTCCATGCCATGGAGACAGCTCAGCTCTGCTCTCCTACATGGGCACAAGGAACAGGGATGATGTTTTCCTGTTTCCCACACAACTACGGATAACGTGGACCCACTTTCAGCGGTGAAATCTCCATCAGGACTCCTCCATCTCCAAGAGGAAGGTCTACAAAAGCCTCAAAGGTACCTGGAGGTGCTACAGCCATGGATGGCACATTCCTAAGGGTGAATCCACTCTTTCCTCTCCATCAGCTCTTCCTCAAGCCTGGATACTGCCCATCCCAGAGGTGTCTCCATCAGGACACACCACAGTGACCCACACCAACACATCTTAAAATAAACCAGGTTACAGACGGAACATGCCTGGAAAAAGGAAAAATCTGGAGCAGGGTGGGAAGAAAACTGTTGAATGAAGCAAAATGAGCTCTTTCCTACCTGCCTGATGCCTCCTGGATCCGTCTCCACTTGGAAGGGGGGTTGTTGTGGTCTCCATCACCTCCAACCTGCTGTGGGTGACGCCTCTTCTGGGGGTGCAGGAGTTTGCACCGGGCACCCTTGGGGCAGACGCCTTTCTTGGCAAAGTCGGGACAAACCAGCGTGTGCTTCTTCTTGCACTGCCAGGGAAAGAGGAAGCAGAGTTGGAAAAGACAGGGAAAAGCATGTGGGAGCACAGGAATCCACAGCTGAGATCCTTCAGGTGGCACCACCACCCTGCTGAAAGGATAGAGGGATGTGTTGGCATTTCCTTCTCTGCATCAAAAAAATATTCCAAGAAAAAATACTACTAAAAAGAGTATTTTTAGTCTGGTGCATTCCACACCTGCCCACTGTTTTCCAAGTGCTTGATTTTAGGGATTCAAACCACCAAAGCCTTAACAGCAGGGATTTACCCCTGGAGAAGTCCCGAGGAGGTTATTTGGGCTGGAGAAGCTGGGCTTGGAGATGACACAGGGTTTTGTTGTCCCAGACATGTTTGGGACTTGGGAAAGAGCAGGGAAGAACTAGCAAAAAAACCTTTTTAGGACTTATTTTGGGATTGCTGCCTGGACCAGCCTTCTGAGGAAGATGGATGAGGGCTGGAGCTCAACCTGCTCGTCCCAAGGCTTGGTTGATGCTCTCCCATCCAGGGAAGCTCAGTGTGGCCATGGAATGGGCCTGTTAAAACAACAGCATCGAGACGTTCATCCCTAAAAATGCTCCTGGATTTTGGCAGCTCTCAGCAGTAACCTGGGTGGTTCTGGTGGGAACGAGGTGTCATCCATGTCCCAGAGTTTCCCCACAAAGCTTTCTGCCTGGAAATGGCATTTTCTGGCAGTGGGAAAGTCAGGAAGAGACACAGGCAGGGAATGATGCCTTCAGCAGGGATTTCTATCTGGGTTCTTGGGAATGAAGGTGGGAGGAAGGAAAAAGAACAGCTCCTCTCTACTCTCTGTTCCCAGCAATCCAGAGAGCTCATCCTAGCATATCCCAAGGGATGAAGGGTGGGAGCAACTCCTGAACCCCTCTTAATCCCGTGTGGACCCATTTTCACCCAGGATGCTCCATGCTCCATCCCAACCAGTTTGGCTTTTGCATTAGATCGTGACATCCATGGAGAGACAACCCAACACACATGGCACAACCAAAAATTCCCATCTCCAACATCCATTCCCTTGTTGACCTCCTCCAGGAGAAATGTGGGTCCTTCCACGCTTGGATGCCCACACATCCCGTTCCTCCGTGCTACACACACTCAAAATTTGGAGAAAATAATATAAATCCATGGGGAAAGAAACACAGGGAGGGTTTCAGCACGACCATTCTGGCCTGTTTATTAAAATCCAACTCGCCAGGAATGCGGGATGGAGGTCAGTTCCTGCCCTTTTACTTTGGGGACACGGGAGCAGCTGCCCGTGCTGACCTTTGGGATTAAGCGGGATCCCTGCCGAGCTCTCTCCTTGAAAAGCAGAAGGATTCGGCAGCTCCGTCGCCTGGAGCTGAGCGCTGAAGTCGGCGGCGGAGCAAGGAGCTCGAGTGCTGGAGGTTGGGGATGGTGCTGAGCAGCAGGAGGGCTGGGATCCACATGGATACACGGATATGGGCTCGAAGGGGGGGACAGCTCAGTGATAGTGCTGCTTTTCCATCAAAAAAAAACATTTAAAACTCCAATTCCGATGATTTTTCACCTCTTACTTCAAGGAGCTGGAATGAGAATTAACTCTACAACCAATGGGCAACCTGGAAGTACAGTCAGGTCTGAACAGGCTTTGCCATCACTCCCAAATCCTGTGTTTTATAGGAACATGGAATCATGGAATGTTTTGGGTTGTAAGGGACTTGGATATCTCATTCCAAACTCCTGCCATGGGTAGGGACACCTTCCACTGTTCCAGACTGATCCAAAGCCTGTCCAACCTGGCCTTAGACACTTCCAGGGATGGGGCAACCAACAGCTTCTCTGGGAAACCTGTGCCAGGGCCTCACCACCCTCACAGGGAAGGATTTTTTCCCAATATCCCATCTAACCATGCCCTCTGGCAGTGGGAAACCATTTCCCCTTTTCCTGGTACTCCAGCCCTTGTCCAAGGTCCCTCTCCAGGTCTCTTAGAGCCCCTTTAGACACTTGGAGAGCCTCTAAGGTCTCCCTGGGACATCCTTGTCTCTAGACTGGACATTCCCAGCTCTCCCAGCCTGGCTTCACAGGATATTTTCTTCATTGTCTCACTTTACCTGCAGACAGGATCCACCCTGGACCAAAGAGAAATGCTTGGAAAAGGCAGCAACCATACGGGAATTCAAACACAGGAATTTCTCCCAAAATATTAGCAAGCAGAAAAGCAAATTCCTCAACCTGACAACTTATTTAACAATAAATGGGACAAAATTAGGAAAGAGAAAAAAATAAAGGAACAGCCCATCAGGGATTGAAGACTGGGATGAATGGATGGGCAGACCTTCCAAGCCCACCTGGAAGGGACAATCCAGGGGAGCACAAGATTATGGAGATGGGTCTTGGTGCCAGGTCCTGGTCTGACCATCCCCAGTTCCTGGAATCACAGAATATCCTGAGTTGAAAGGGAGTCCCAGGGATCATCAAGTCCAAATTCTGTCTCTGCTCTGGATGACCCCTGAAAAGGATGTCAAATCCTCTTCTGTAAAGGGGTTTCCAGCACAAAATCGACTTGGAAAGGAGAAGAGCAGGAAAAAAAAGAGCCCTGACCTCAAAAAGCCGCATGGATGCATCACTGCTACATCGAGGAATTCTGCTATTTTGGGAAAAGGCCAAGAAACGTGGCTGCTCCTTCCCAGCGGGGCACCGATTACGGGGCGGGACAGTGCCACGATCCCGACTGGGCACCGGGATCGGGATGTGCCACCTCCCCAGTGCTCCACCCAGCCCCAGCCTCCAAGTGAATCCTTGGAGCAGCCCATGTTTATTGGCTCCATGGTAAAAAGATACTTAATAAAGAAAACAAACCGTGTGCGACTAATCCCGGGGCCGCGTCCCCAGCTCAGGTTTCTAATGGCTTTTCCACGCCGTTCCCAGCGCTCCGGCCTTTCTTCCGCAACGCCCCGTCCATCCTCGCTGTCCCACAGCTGGGATGGCGAGGCTGGAATTGCCTTCGGAGGCTGGAAAAGCCCCTTCTGTTTATTTACAGTAGCTGTCATGCTCCTGCCAGATCCAGCACGCTGGGGATGGGTTTCCACAGGGAATTTTGCCGCCGGCCACGCGTCAGCTGGGGTGAAGCCGAGCGGGGCTGTGGGGTGGTGCTGGGGGCCATCTGATCCCTGCCACCTGTCGGGGTGGCTAATTATACCCCCCCCGGGACCCCCGCCAGACCACAGGTTGGGCCATAAAAAGGGGAAAAAAGTTTGGTCTCTTCCATCGGAGAAATGAGAAAACCCCAGAGAATCCCTAAAAAGCCACAAGGAGGAATCTCACCCCACTCCGGCTCCACGCCAACATCCCCATGGATATGTCCCAATCCCAGCTTCCCCACTGTGGGGTTGCCCCCACAGCCTGTCCAGCAACGGTGCCTAGGGTTGGGATGGTGCCCAGCTGGCAGATCCCATGTCCAGGACTCCTCCTTGGCTGCCAGGGTAGCTTTGGGTGAAATTCCAGGTGCTGTCAAGGATCCACAAGGCCTTAAATGGTCCAACGGGGCACAACGTGCTCCAGGAGTGAGACGGGGATGAGGAGGTTTGCAGGGCCCAGCCTTCTTTAGCATGAAGCTGGCAAAGGAGGAGACAGCAACTGGTGGAAAGTCCTGGCTCAGTCTTGGGAATGATGTTAATGAACATTTTCCATGAACAAGCTTGGCAGGAGGGGATGGAGGGTGGGAGAAAGGTGAAGCTGGGTCACTGGGCCAACCAACAACCAACCCACTGACCGTATGGGGTGGGGAGGAGATATCCCACCCAGCCTCACATTCCTGGCTCCTGGCTACAGCAGTTTGGCCAGGTTGAACTTCTCAAGTATCTCCAGGCTTAATCTTAACCCCTGCTCCTTTCCCAGTGCTGTGGGACAGCAGGTGACAAGGGCTGGACTTTGATGATCCTTGTGGGTCCCTTCCAACTCAGAATATTCTCCGAAGAGATGACAAAGTGCTGGAGCACCTTCCCATCTCCTTGGAATCCATGTCTATCCCTCTATCCATCATGACGGACACAAATGTCACCAACCAGACCTTCAGGGAAAGAGGACCGTTAAAATCCCCAAAACTCAACTGCCTCAACTCCAGTGTTTCCTACTTTTTAAAGCCCTCTTGAGCATCCATGCAGCTTTTGCCAGAGCTATTCCAGGTATCCCCATGGCCAAGCAGCGGGATTAATGTACTGGATGGATGTCAGGCTGTTTTAATGTCCTTCTAAGTGGCTGTTGGGAAGTGATGGCTGGAGGTGCTGGAGCTCTTTTGATGCCACTCGGAAGTGACAGCCAGTAAATGGCTTTTTTCCGATTGCTTTTTTATAATTGGGTGCAGATGGAAACAGCCTTTAAAACAACACAAAAAAAAAAATCCCAGCTCCCTGTCATTAAAACCTGGAGGACAATACATATGAACATCATCCAGACTGAAATAATGATGAAGAAATTTAACCAATGTGGTTATCCAAAGGAATTTGCTCCAAAACAAGTTTCTGCCCTCAAAAGAGTTTGCCCAGCAAAATGCCTGCTGCAAAGGGATGACTCCTGATGGCCATCTCCAAATTATCAGAGGAATTTGGGATCTAAAAGCTCTCCAGGATCCTGCAAATCCATAAACCCTCTTCTTTGGTACTTCCAGGAAGTAAAATAACATTTGAGGTAAAATACCTCTGGAGCTGGAGCGAGACCAGGATGGTGTTTTGAAAAATCATTGGGAAAATCATATTTAAGAGGCAGCAAAGGAGATGGGAAGGAATCCCTGCTCATGGCAGGGGGGTGGAACTGGATGTTCGTTAAGGCCTCTTCCAACCCAAACCAGTCTGAAATCCCAGGATTCTGTGGAACAATGGCACCACCCACTTGGTGTCATCTGCAAACTGGGGCACCCAATCTCATTATGTCATTAATGAAGGCATTCATTAGCACTGGTCCCAGTACAGATCCTTGAGGGACACCACTGGTTTCCACTGGAACTTGAGTCGTTGACTG